TGCAGTGCGATTGCAGGAGAGTGGAACAGTACTGGGGCACACCTGGTCACAACTAAACTCTGCATAATGTGTTCCATAGTGTGCATACCTATAAAATGCATTAAAGTGACACTATAGCCACCAGAACAACTATAGCTTGATGTTGTTTTTCTGGTGTGTATAGTCCTTGCAGGCTTTTTATTAAAGCTTTTTAATGTAAACACTGCTTTTTCAGAGAAAAGTCAGTGTTTACATTACTGCATAGGGACCCCTCTTGGGGTCACACGGCCACTAGAGGTGCTTACTGGATCAGTGCTGCGTAATGTGCAGCACTGACGTTTAGCATCTATATGCTCTGCAACACATGTACTTATAGCTTCAGTGCTTTCCAATGGGAAAGCATTGGATTGGCTGAGAACATCAAATATGATGATTTCAGCCAAGGAGGGGGAGGAGTGCAGGCCAGCTGTGAGGAGATCTTCGCAGTGCTGGATAAAAAGGTGAGTAAATCACTGTTTTAACAGGGCAAAGGGGGACGGAAACTAAATGGCTAATTTAAACCTGTAGTTTTAGGAATACATGTTTGTTTTCCTGACATTATAGTGCTCCTTTAAAACATTATTGATCGTTTCATGATGCTTTCCCTTTAAAGAGGCACTGTTTTTAGTACCAAATGACAGTAGAACAATGTTTTTTTCAGATCTGATAAATCTTCCCAATCAGTGAAATACTCAATTTTATCTTATTATTATTATTATTATTATTATTATTATTATGATTATCTCAATCAGTTACAAATCATATCGTTTTACAATCCTGTACATTGTTTTAGAGCTACAAGCGGTTTATCATTCAATCAGAATGTTATTATAAGTAAAGCATATGTTAGCAGATTATTACATAAAATGTACAGGATCATTTATAGTCCATAGGACCTCTGTAGATGACCTGATTTGTTTTTACTCAAATATTCTTTACCCTTTTACTATATAAAACAAACAGGTTGTTTAGATTTTAAAACATCCTCAGTAAATATTAGCAAATTCAGCAATCATGTGCATACAGAACTGACCTCTATGTAGACATTCAGAAACATTCCACAGCTGCAGATTTACTAAATACTTTACATAGTTTTCATTTCAGGGACAATGATAAGGCGGTTGCTGTGACATGTAAGATCACATTACTTTCACTAGATGTTTCCTATACTACCCACACTCTGCTACACCCAGATATACATATACTGCACTATTAACCATTAAATGTCTCTGGTTCTCCTCGAGGTACATATTTATATATTCCTGTTTGTCACCTGAAAATATAAATACACATTTGACTTTTTGGTTTCTTTATAAAATAAACTATATTTATTTTTACAAAAAATGAGGATACAAGAGCTACAGACAAAAGCTTAGAGGAACTCAGTAGCTTGCCCTTCGGTAAATCCCTGTTCAGGTCTCAAAATAGTTTTTGCTCACTTGTGCCATTGCAGAGAGAATCAGCTCCAAGACACATCAGACTAATGCCACCCAAAAGGGCAGTCCGGAACCAAATGCCGGCAAGTTCTCTGCACGAGAGATACAGGAACCCCAGATGACAGATTCGACCTTCATTGAGCCTCGTCAGTGAGGTGTAGCTCGGGGTCGATCCTGGGAGGGTGCCGAGATGCACCGCGCCCTGGCGCCAGGAGATGGGGGGGGGGCGCTGCACGGAGCAGGCCGATGGCCTGTCACTGGGAGCCCAGCTGGCCACTTAACGGTATAGAGTATAAAGGATAACTGCCGAGAGCAGAGGTTATGTAGCAACGCAGAGTAGGCAGCTGCTAGTCCCAGACAGCAGGTGCCTACTCTGCAGCAATATACCGTCTGGGTGAGGAAGGTGGCAGGCAGCGGCGAGGGAGCGCTGACTGTGCTGCTGATCTTACTGCTCCCTCGTGCGCCCTCAGTAGTGATGCCGGGAGCCAGAATATGACTTCATTCTGGCCCTACCTCACTAAACAGTGCGGGTGAGCAGGAAGAGCATGAAAGCCACTGAACCCCGTGGAGAGGACCCAGAGGACTCCTAAAGGCAGGAACAACATTCAATAAAATTAATTTGTGAGTGTGTGTGCAAGACTATGTAAGTGTGTGTGTGTGTCTGTCAGTGGGTGGGTGTGTGTGTGTTACTGTCAGTGTGTGTTTGTGTGTGTCTGTCAGTGAGTGTGTGTGTGTGTGTGTGTCAGTAAGTGTGTGTGTCTGTCAATAAGTGTGTTTGTGTGTGTATCTGTCGGTGATTTATTTAACCAATCATTGTTAACAGGAGTAGTCCCAGAAGATTGGAAGTTAGCGAATGTGCCCATTCACAAGAAAGGTATTAGGGAGGAGTCGGGCAACTATAGGCCAGTAAGCCTTACTTCAGTAGTGGGGAAAGTAATGGAAACCATGTTAAAGGATAGGATTGTTGAACATCTAAAAACACATGGATTTCAAGATCAGAGACAACATCGGTCTACTTTAGGGAGATCATGCCAAACTAATCGTATTGATTCTTTTTATTGGGTAACTAAAATAATAGTTCAGGGTGGTGCAGTAGACATTGCTTACCTAGATTTCAGTAAGGCTTTTGACACTGTTGCACATAGAAGGCTTATCAATAAACTGCAATATTTAAGTTTGGATTCCAATATTGTTGAATGGGTAAGGCAGTGGCTGAGTGACAGGCAACAGAGGGTTGTAGTCAATGGAGTATATTCAAAGCATGGGCTTGTCACCAGTGGGGTACCTCAGGGATCAGTACTTGGACCGATTCTCTTTAATGTTTTTATTAGTGATATTGCAGAAGGTCTTGATGGTAAGATATGTCTTTTTGCTGATGATACTAAGATATGTAATAGGGTTGATGTTCCAGGAGGGATAAGCCAAATGGCAAATGATTTAGGTAAACTAGAAAAATGGTCAGAGTTCCGGCAACTGACATTTAATGTGGATAAGTGCAAGATAATGCATCTTGGACATAAAAACCCAAGGGCAGAGTACAGAAAGAGATTTAGGGGGGGATTATTTCTGATGACTTAAAGGTAGGCAGACAATGTAATAGAGCAGCAGGAAATGCTAGCAGAATGCTTGGTTGTATAGGGAGAGATATTAGCAGTAGAAAGAGGGAAGTGCTCATGCCATTGTACAGAACACTGGTGAGACCTCACTTGGAGTATTGTACGCAGTACTGGAGACCATATCTCCAGAAGGATATTGAAACTTTAGGGAGAGTTCAGAGAAGGGCTACTAAACTGATTCATGGATTGCAGGATAAAACTTACAAGGAAATGTTAAAGTATCTTAACATGTATAGTTTGCAGGAAAGACGAGACAGGAGGGATATGATAGAAACATTTAAATACATAAAGGGAATCAACACAGTAAAGGAGGAGACTATATTTAAAAGAAGAAAAACTGCCACAACAAGAGGACATAGTCTTAAATTAGAGGGGCAAAGGTTTAAAAATAATATCCGGAAGTATTACTTTACTGAGAGGGTAGTGGATGCATGGAATAGCCGTCCAGCTGAAGTGGTAGAGGTTAACACAGTAAATGAGTTTAAGCATGCATGGGATATGCATAAGGCTATCCTAACTATCAGATAAGGCCAGTGACTAATGAAAGTATTTTAAAAAATTGGGCAGACTAGATGGGCCGAATGGTTCTTATCGGCCGTCACATTCTATGTTTCTATGTGAGTATGTGTCTTTCAAGCAAGTGGTTGTCTGTCAGTGAATGGGTGTGTGTGTGTCTATCTGTGTGTGTGTCTGCCTGTCAGTGAGTGTGTGTCTGTCCAGGTTTGTGTGTGTGTTATTGAGAGTGAGTGCCAGTGTGTCTGTCAGCAGGGTCAGCCTTTGGGGTAGGCAAGCTGTGCGGTCACGCAGGGCGCCATAACAAAAGAGGCGCCCGGCGGCCAAAACAGCTCGCAAGTTGGGGACACCAGCATATTAAATTTAAACTATTCCCTGGTGGTCCACTGGTGTGCACCAGCAGTCAGATCATATCCTCTCCCTTGTGGTTCCGGCACTCAGTGAGTCAGAGCGCAGGCTTAGAGATTCTTATCCTGAACTCTGACAACATTTAAAGCCGGAGCTGCAAAGGAGTGGGTATTATGATCCAAAACAACAAGACGTGTGCTTTCTGCTATTCACCATCGGACTGCCAGGGAATTGATATAGGATACCACCACACCACCAGGGTCATTTTTGTGTGGGGGCGGGAATGGTGACCAAGCACTAAAATGAGGGGTGGCACTGCCGGGAAGAGTGTTGCAGCTTGGAACACAATAGGAATCAGTTAGTGGCTGCTTTATAATGCAGCCTTGAAAACCTCCCAACCCTAGAAACCCCCCTAGTATGTTGCTGGCAAAGGATCTGCAGTGTGTAGGTGGTGTTACACCAGCAATACTCTGCTGAGTGAAACTACATTCCCTATCACATAACCACATCTGAACACCAATTCAATTATCCTACCAATCAACCTCCTATACATAAGCAGTCTGTGTGTGACTTCTGAACTATTTACCTATGTATTTATGTGACTGTGACTTTATGTCTAAAAGTATGTTGTGTGTCTATGTATGGGACTGTAACGGCTACCCGGCTGGAGAGGGGTATCTGCCGTTGGAGACGTCCTTTTCTAGGCAAGCTGCTGTGAAGTAATGGAGTTCTTATTCCCATCCACGATATCCAAGTGTATAATCCGGCAGTGCTGTAAAATGAGGCAGAGTAACGGTACCATAAATCCCCTCCAAGAATGAGACGAGGCTACGTTTTGAAGGGTCAAGTAGAACTGATGTTTATTGACAGGGGTCTCCTTTTATGCAATGGTGCCCTCTGAAAGGCTACACCCACATAATTAACACAACAGCCAATTAGACACATGGTTCAACCCCCACGTCTCCTCCCCTCAGATAACATATAACATAATTAAAACAGGCACAATTTTAACCAAATTCTGGATGTACCCCAAAAACAGGGGGAACACCTTTAAGTCGCACCGCTAGCTCTCACTCAGGGGAACAACATGTCCAAATTTCAGCCCATTCGGTTGAGGGGTTCGGGAGTTATGGATCTTTGAAGTTTTGACCGACCGCACAGGTTTTCTAGCCGAAAAGAGTTCCATAAGTTTTGGCCTTGCGGTCGGTCTCCGTTCGTGCATTAAAACCCCACGAACCTCTTGCCACCCACAGTCATCCTGGTGTTCGCTAGAATCCTCATGTGAGCTTAAACAAAACTACCGAACGGCCGGTTGTTCGGTAGTTCCAGCACGAACTTACAAGCTCCTGGAGGTCTCAGCGGCGTTCGCCTGTTTGCGTATCCGTTTTTAGTTCCATGTGTTCACAGGCAAACACCGCCGTTCGTGCGTAAGATGGCCGCGAACACGTGTAAAGTCCTGAAATGGCGGCCATCTAACCTGAGCACAAAGGAATTCGTATGAAACCATGCGAACGGCTCCAAAAGCGCTGGGAGGTAAAATACCAATTAACTGTTCCCCTGGGTGGTCCGATGTTCGGTATTTTGAGCTGTATTTTTCAGTAGGGATATTTCCACGAAATAGTCATTCGGTTTTTTGTAATACATCCAGCGGTATATATATATATATAAGTCCAGGCAAAACACATAGACAAAGGCATAGTTCTGTTACACTGCTCCCCTTTTGTGGAACACTCCGGCAGACCCGGATTGATCCTTTTCGGGTCAACTTGGGGCTGTCCGGTCTGCGGTTAAGGTAAAAGTTCAGTTTGCCTGGACAGTCCGTCTGCGTTCCCATTGAACCGGCCAGGGCGATATTGAATGGAGAAGTTGTACGGTTGTAGGGCCAAACTCCATCTCAGCAATCGTCCATTGTCCCCAGCTACTCGGTTCAGCCATACTAGGGGGTTATGTTCTGTGATCAGGGTGAATTCCTGACCGTACAGGTATGGTGTGAGCTTCTTTAGAGCCCAGACTAGGGCTAGACACTCTTTTTCCACTGCCGCATAGCTCACTTCCCTGGGTAATAGTTTTCTACTCAGGTACCCGACAGGGTGTTCCCCTCCATCTTCCCTGACCTGGCTCAGAACTGCCCCCAGTCCGTACATGGACGCATCTGTATGGACGACAAATCTTTTGTTAGGGACGGGGGCAGACAAAACCGGTGCGTTGATCAGGGCTTGTTTCAGGGTTTGGAACGCTGTTTCGCAGGTGGGAGACCACAGGCCTACTCTAGGCAAATTTTTCTTTGTCAAATCTGTCAGGGGTTTAGCGATGGCGCTGTAGTCAGGGATAAATTTTCTGTAGTACCCTGCTGTCCCTAGGAATGCCAGTACTTGGGTCTTGGTGTGGGGTGTTGGCCAGTTGGCTACAGCTTCCACCTTAGCGGGTTCTGGTCGCTGTTTCCCACACCCTACCCTGTGTCCCAAGTACTGTACTTCGGCCATTCCGAAATTACATTTCTCTGGTTTCAGAGTTAGGCCTGCGGCCCTAATCTGATCCAGCACAGACTCTACATGTCTTAAGTGCTCTCCCCAAGTCTCACTATAGATCGCAATGTCATCCAGGTACGCGCACGCGAATTCCTGGAAGCCATCAAGGAGACGATCCACTAAGCGCTGGAATGTAGCTGGGGCGTTTTTCATCCCGAATGGCATGACCTTAAACTGGTATAAGCCAAACGAGGTGACAAACGCCGACTTAGAGATAGCGTCCTTGGCCAGGGGAATCTGCCAGTACCCTTTGCACAGATCGATGGTCAGATAGCGTCCCCTGGCAATGCGATCTAATAGTTCGTCTACTCGGGGCATGGGGTATGCGTCGGTCACGGTCCGGTCATTGAGGCGTCGGTAATCGACACAGAACCGGGTCGTTCCGTCCTTTTTGGGAACTAGGACAACTGGGGATGCCAAGGGGCTGTCGGACGGCTCTATAACTCCCAGTTTTAACATCTCCTGAATCTCTTTTCTCATCTCCTCTTTTACGGCTTCAGGGATTCTATAGGGAGTCTGTCTATGGGGTTTCCACATAATGTGTCGCTAAGGGTGTGTAACCGGGCTCCTGAGAAAACGTCAATCCTTTCTCAGCTAGCAATTGTTGGAGTTGTTCCCTTTCTGTGGGAGTTAACCGCTCCCCTAGCTGCACTGTATTGAGCAGAGTTTTAGGCTCGGAGTCGGCTAACAGATCTGGGATGGGAAGACTGTCAGGGTCTTCAGTGGCCGGGATACATATGGCCGCTATATCTTCGGGCCTTTCTTGGTACTCTTTTAATAAATTAACATGAAAGGACTTCTGGATCCTTTCGTCCTGGCTACTGGCAATTACATAGGTGGTGTCACATATCTGGGCCACTACCTTGTAAGGGCTCTGCCAGGAGGTCTCTGTAGTTTGTTTCCCTTGACAGGTCTAAGTACCAGAACTTTCTGACCTACTAGGAACGTTCTCAACCGGGCGCCCCAATCATACCAATGTTTCTGACGGCCCTGGGCTGCCTGAAGATGTTCTCGGGCCATCCTGGCTAGGTGCCCCATGCGGTCCCGCATCTCCAGCACATAACGTACGATAGGAACCCCCTCATGTTCTATCTCTCCCTCCCAGTGCTCTCGGATGAGGTTGAGGGGGCCTCACACTCCCTGTCCATAGAGCAGCTCGAAGGGAGAGAACCCTGTGGATTCCTGTGGCACCTCTCGATATGCAAACAAGAGGTGCGGCAAGAATCGCTCCCAGTCTCTGTATTCCGCCGTAAAGGTCCGCAGCAATTGCTTTAGGGTACCATTAAAGCGTTCACAGAGACCGTTAGTCTGAGGGTGGTACTGAGCAGGGTCTTGACACCACAGACCTTCCATAACTGCTGAGTTAGGTCTGCGGTGAACTGGGTCCATCGGTCAGATAGGATTTCCTGAGGAAATCCCACTCTGGTGAATATCCCGACTAGAGCACTGGCGACAGTGTCAGCCTGGATATTCGTCAGAGCGACGGCCTCTGGGTAGCGAGTAGCATAGTCCACTACTGTAAGAATATACTTCTTACCCGAGGGGCTAGGGTTAGGTAGGGATCCCACTAGGTCGACTGCCACCCGGCTAAACGGTTCCTCGATCACGGGCATGGGTGACAGTCGAGCTTTAGGGTGATCCCCTCTCTTCCCTACTCTTTGGTATGTTTCGCAGGTACTGCAGAAACGCTGCACGTCCTTCGAGATCCCAGGCCAGAAAAAGGTCTGTGTGATCCTGTAGGCGGTGCGGTTACCCCCTAAGTGCCCTGCCAACGGAATGTCGTGTCCAATTCGGAGAAGTTCCTTTCTAGTTTCCCTCCCAAACTCCTCTGGGGTGTCCCAAGCCATGGGTCTTTCTACTGTGTTAGGGCTGAGTGTCTGCTCGTGGCTTACCTGGGTCTCCCGGCCTGCTGGAGGATCTTCCTCGATACGGGTCTGTGAGCGGGTGGTCACGGGACAAGCAGCAGCAGTCGTGGGTTAATAAGCTGAAGCTAGAGGGCCAATGTCGTTGCCCAACACGACTTCAGCAGGTAAATTGTCCATGATTCCTACTGTGGTCTTTCCCGACCCGACTCCCCAATCCAAGTGTACCCGGGCGGTGGGTAAGCAAAAAACAGCTCCCCCTGCGACCCGGACAGCAACAGTACGGTTAGATACATGCTCCGGTTTCACGAGATGTTTCTGCACCAAAGTGATGGTAGCGCCAGTGTCCCTTAGGCCTTGTGCTACCTGTCCATTTACACGCACCTCCTGGCGGTGATGCTGGCAGTTATCTGGGGATGCAGCTTGTATGGGGTTTGCCTCGTACAGGATGCCCAAACACTCCTCAGGGCTCCCTTCGGTTTCCAGGCAGTGAGCAGGAGAGGTGCGTGATGGTGGGGTCTCGGTGTTAGTGGTCGAGCGCCTCCAGTTGTTATTGGCTGATCCCAAGGGGCAATAACGGGCAATATGCTCCGTGTTGCCGCAGCGATGGCACGTAATTTTGTAAGACTCCCGGGGTTGGTTGTTAGACCCCTAAGGACGCGGAGGCCCTGCGGGTACTGGGGCGCGAAATTCTGTGCATGCAGCAGGCGTTGGGGTGCGTGGCTCTGCTTTAGGTGTTGGTCGTGTGGTCCCCTGGCTCACCTTTCTTGTCTCTGCGTATTCGTCCGCTAGCCGCGCTGCCTCGATTAAGTTAGCAGGGCGGCGATCTCTCACCCAGTCCTGTATGTCCGCAGCCAGATCTTGGAAGAAATGTTCCATTAAGAATAGCTGTAGTACGTCCTCTCCGGTGTTGGCATTGCCCCCTCGTACTCAATGTGATGCCACCCTTTGTATCTTGTTTGCCCATTCCATGTGGGAGTCTGCAGCCTTCTTTTTAGACTCCCGGAAGCGACGGCGATACGTTTCTGGGGTGACGGTGTAGTAGATTATTTTCTGCAAACCAATAAGTTTGAATGACTATCTGTTCCTGTCCAAATTAAAGATAATAAAGTTGCGTGCACGCAGAAGTAAATTCACACTGAGACACAGGGTTCAGGTTAATGAAAGAACTTCGGAGAAGTTTAATGGCTTCTAACAGAAAATGGGTGCGCAGACCCTTTTAAAGGCATTATCACATCACTGAAGAATTCAAGATAACAGCAAATAAACATTAATAATTGGTCCAGGTGTTAAGTGGTTAGTTAGATGCCCTCCCATCAAGAGGTGATGTCATCCTTGACACGGGAGTGGACACAAGCACGAGGTGTCCACTCGATGGGAGGGGTGCTTTGGCAGCAATTTTGAGTAGTTGGCATTATTAGTTTCAAGCTTAGTTTTCAAGGTTTTTTAGTAGATACACATTTTATTATTCAGCTGACATATACTTTATTGAGATCAACATGTCGCTCAGCGGCCACAATGTTTCATTCTTGATGAACACATTGTTCCGCTGACGCACATTTCTTCCTGACAAAGCATTCTCTTATAAATTCTATAATTCTACAACAACAGCATATCTGGTGATCAGTGCAGCCATCACCCATCGATACTGTGCAATATCTTCCTCAGTAAGCGCCCGAAAAGTCTCATTTGCTTTTCCGGATAGCCATTGGTCTGGTGGTATCTGGTGTAGTGAGCACTGCCTCTCAAAGTCAGCCAAATATCCGTCAATCTCTTCCTCACTTTCCACAAACGCAGTGAATGGTATTTTCTGCCCTGTAGCAGTGGGTGGGGGAGTATGAACTGTATGTGCAATGGGCTGTCTAGCTCTTGCCAGTTCAAGTTCGTGTCCCCTCCTGTTTTGTATCTCCGGTCTTGCTTCCCGGAACAGCTGATCTATTAGTTCCACGGATGTTGCTGGGTACATGGATAATCTCCGCTGCACAAGATTTGTAATTTCCTCCTCCTCGCTGACAGGGGTAGGTTGGTTCGCGACCTCCATGGATCGATCCATCTCGTCCAGCTCCAGTAGGTCAGCTATCAGCTCTCTCCGTGGTCGGTTGCTGGCACTCCTTCCTCTGGTTTCCAATAGATCCTTTAGTGTAGGTCTTTTCAGTTTAGCGTACTGGGATTCCATTCAGCACTTGCTTTGGGGATGAAAAGGACCATCCCGCCGCTGCCACCAATGTAACGGCTACCCAGCTGGAGAGGGATATCTGCCGTTGGAGACGTCCTTTTCTAGGCAAGCTGCTGTGAAGTAATGGAGTTCTTATTCCCATCCACGATATCCAAGTGTATAATCCGGCAGTGCTGTAAAATGAGGCAGAGTAACGGTACCATAAATCCCCTCCAAGAACGAGACGAGGCTATGTTTTGAAGGGTCAAGTAGAACTGATGTTTATTGACAGGGGTCTCCTTTTATGCAATGGTGCCCTCTGAAAGGCTACACCCACATAATTAACACAACAGCCAATTAGATACATGGTTCAACCCCCACGTCTCCTCCCCTCAGATAACATATAACATAATTAAAACAGACACAATTTTAACCAAATTCTGGATGTACCCCAAAAACAGGGGGTACACCTTTAAGTCCAGCAAAGGCTTGATAGCTCTCACTCAGGGGAACAACATGTCCAAATTTCAGCCCATTCGGTTGAGGGGTTCGGGAGTTATGGATCTTTGAAGTTTTGACCGACCGCACAGGTTTTCTAGCCGAAAAGAGTTCCATAAGTTTTGGCCTTGCGGTCGGTCTCCGTTCGTGCATTAAAACCCCACGAACCCCTTGCCATCCACAGTCATCCTGGTGTTCGCTAGAATCCCCATCTGAGCTTAAACAAAACTACCGAACGGCCGGTTGTTCGGTAGTTCCAGCACGAACTTACGAGCTCCTGGAGGTCTCAGCGGTGTTCGCCTGTTTGTGTATCCGTTTTAAGTTCCATGCGTTCACAGGCAAACACCGCCGTTCGTACGTAAGATGGCCGCGAACATGTGTAACGTCCCGAAATGGCGGCCATCTAACCTGAGCACAAAAGAATTAGTATGAAACCATGCGAACGGCTCCAAAAGCGCTAGGAGGTAAAATACCAATTAACTGTTCCCCTGGGTGGTCCAATGTTCGGTATTTTGAGCTGTATTCTTCAGTAGGGATACTTCCACGAAATAGTCATTCGGTTTTTTGTAATACATTCAGCGGTATATATATATATATATATATAAGTCCAGGCAAAACACATAGACAAAGGCATAGTTCTGTTACAGGGACTTTGTGTGTATTTTGATGTATGTGCCTGTTTTTTTTAAATAAATGTTTGTTACTGTTTAATGCGTGTATCCCTGTGACTGTGTTTTGGTGTGTCTGTGTCCATGATGATGTGTGTCTGTGATGGGGTGTTAATTCATGTCTGACAAGGTTATTCACTAAAACAGTTGTCAGGAATTCAATGCTTCTAGTTTGACTATTCTGTCATCCACTTTGAAATCTACTATGAATTCCTGACAATTCTCGCTTTTGTAAATAACCCGGTATGTATGTATGTATATATGTATGTGAATGTGTATGTTGATATGTGCCTATGTATGTGACAGTGTGTGTCTGTGTATGGATGTGGATGTGCGCATGTCTATGTATGTATGAGAGATGATCTGTGGGTTTATATGTATGTGCATTAATGTATATATGGGATCACTGTACATTTACAACAAACTGAAATAAGGAAAACTATTTCACATAGAAGCTTTGCATTAAAAAAACAATTTATACAAATGAGGTTCTAGAGATAATTGTTTAAGAGGGCGTCATCAAGTCTAGAACCGCAGCTGCACAGAGGGGAAGTAGAAAGGAATGCCTGCTTCCCCAACACTAGGGACCCTGGCCTCCTCTCCTCCTCCTAGTGCTCATGAAAGCAAGGACTGTATGTATGTGACACTAAGTGACTGTTGTTACTTATATTGTGTAAGTATGTGACTGGCTGTGTATATGTTTGTGTATGTGACCGATAGTGTCCATATGGCAGTGTGACTGTGTGTGTATATTGTATTGTGTGTGACTGTCTGGGTATGCATGGGGCAGTGTGTGTGTAATTGTGTTATTATGTATGTTGTGATTTAGAACGCTGAGTGCTGGACTTCCTTGTTTTGGGTACGACGTATATCTGGAGATGTGGTCAGTTCCTTGGAGAACCACATTTTAGATTAGAAGGCATGAAGTAACACACAAATGTTTATTCTAATCTATTGGCATGATAAGGACTAACCTATTCCAAAACAGCTGAAATGGAAAAAAATATCCAATTAATTTCTTTTCAGATCAGCTATATTGTCCAATATATATTGTTTTGGCTTATATGTTGAAATACCTTTAGGTAGGGCAAGGGAAAGGGCCAGGCAGGGGTGCTGTGATGATTATTCGCACAGGGCGCCTAACGGTCTGAGGCCGGCTCTGTCTGTCAGTGTGAGGGTGTCTGCCAGTGAGCATTTTTAAAACAGTGAGAGTGTGTGTCTGTCATTGAGAGTGTCTCTCAGTGTGTGTGAGTGTCTGACAGTAAGTGTGTATGTGTGTATCTGTCAGCATTTATGTCTGTCAGTGAGTGTTTCAAATCAGTGAGATTGTGTATCTGTCATTGAGAGTGTGTGTCAATGAGTCTGAATATGTTTCTGCCAGTGTGTGTCAAATCAGTGAGTGTGACTGTCAGTGAGTGTGTGCCTAGATGGAGAGGTGGAGTCATTGCAAAGGAGAGGAGTTAGTAAAGATGACCACGCCCACCTGGGGGCACCCAAAGAAATTCTGCACTCAAGTGTCTGTGACCCTAGGATCAGCCCTGGTGTAGCTGTTAACCCTTTAGGTACAGTGAGTATGGGGTCCACGTCTGGATTACACACACACTGTATCATTTACACACATACACTGCATCCACTATACACATATTACATCCCTTAGACACAAATACACTGGATCCTCTATACACACACTTCCCCCCTTTACAACACACACTTCCCCCCTTACACAAACTACATCCCTTATACACACACACACACTACATCCCTTACACACACTACATCCCTTACACACACATTCTCCTATAAACACAGACTACGTCCCCTAAACACACTAGATTCCCTATACACATACATACACTACCAGGGTTGTAACTAGAAACCTCAGGGCCCCGGTGCAAAAATCTGTTAATGTATATTTAAAAAATAAATAAAACATGCACTGCCACACACACACACACACACACACATATGGGGCACATTGCTATATACAGAAATACACATACACTGCCATACACAGATACACACACAGATTTAAACACATACATGGCTACATTGACACAAATATTATACACATTGTCACACCAAAAAAAATTCAATAGCATTCATTTTTCTTTAATTTATCCAACTAAATAATAAGAAAATAAAACTTTTTTTTATTTTTTTTGATTAAGGCATCTTATGTAAATTAACTATTTTAACTGAGACAAGCGTAACCCTGTAGTGACAAGACCGTTTTTCAATTTTCTTACCGTTTGGGACCAGGAGGTGTTTGTATTTAGCTGTAATTTTCCTCTTACTCATTTACTGTACCCACAAATATTATATACTGTTTTTTTTCGCCATTACATGGTCTTTCTAAAGATACCATTGTTTTCATCATATCATTTACTATAAAAGAAATTATAAAATATGATTAAACCTTTTTTAAAAACACTTTTTTGAACTTTGACCCCCAAAATCTGTTGCGCATCTACAACCGCCAAAAAACACCCATGCTAAATAGTTTCTAAATTTTGTTCTGGTTTTAGAAATACCCAATGTTAACATGTTCTTAGCTTTTTTTGTGCAAGTTATAAGGCAATAACTACAAGTAGCACTTTGCTATTTCCAAAACATTTTATTTCAAAATTAACACAAGTTACATTGTAACACTAATATCTGTCAGGAATCCCTGAATAACCCTCACATGTATATATTTTTTAAAAAGAAGACAACAAAGGTATTACATTTGAGGTATTTTGACTCTTTTCATGCTCTTTTCATGCAACCATTTTACCACCAATCTATGCCAAATTAAAAAACATAATAATACAATTGTTGCTTTTTTGACACACATAGCAATTTAAGAATACATGTACTGATAACTTTAAGGGTTACTGCCAAGGAACACCCCAATATGTGTTCAGCAATATCTCCCTAGTACAGTGATCCCACCCATGCATAGGTGTGTTGGGTTCTCTGGCGGCTAAAATACCTTATTTGGATGGTGCGCGTTCCAGTTTTCCAACTTGAAATTTTCACAGCTGGTCATCATCCACCCATGTCCTATTTGGGAAATTTTTAAAGCCAGCCAATGTAATTTACCCCCATCAGGGCTGCCATCAGAAATTTTGGTGCCCCTGACACAGCTCAAGGTCTGGGCCCCCCCGGTGCCTGAACCCGAGTCCGCCCAAAGTGCTGCCCCCTCCCCCCCGAGTCCGCCCACAGGAATGCAGTGTCTGCAAGGCCGGTGCAAGGATTTTTGCCGCCCTAGGCAAAAGTAAAGTTTGCCGCCCCCCCATGTGACATCACAATGCCCCACCCATATGATCTGCCATGTTAACTAACACCAGTGCTGCAGTGCCGCCGTGTTTACATTAAAAGGCCTGCAGGGACAGGCTAGACACCAGAACCACTACATTAAGCTGTAGTGGTTCTGGGGACTATAGTGTCCCTTTAATGTGAGGTAAATTAGAGATTAGTGCCACAAATAATATACAAGATTGCCTACTTACAACCAGATGAGGATGATGGGCTCTAGCTGCCGTCTGGCTCCACTGGTCTGGTGTAGAACAGGCTTTCTGGAGGCGGTTTGTAACTGTGGTCACAAAAATCAATGTTCTGGGATCAACGGGAAGCAGCTCCATTTTTTTGAGGGCCCTTTACACAGCTCAAGGTCTGGGTCCCAGAGGGTCCACCTTCATGTTCCACCAATGAGTTTGTTCACAGGGGGTGGAGTGTGTGTGGGGGGGATGTCCTGATGTGTGTAAGGAATGCATTGTGTTAATCTGTGTTTGTATGTGTAAGGGCTGCAAGGTGAGTTTGTGTATGTATGGGATGCAGTGTGTGCGTCTGTAAGGGATGCATTGAGTGTGCAATAATTTCCTTATTCTCCCCTCCTCTTCTTCTTCTCCCCCCTCTCCAATTTCCTTCTTCTCCCCCTCCCTCTCCAATTTCCTTCTTCTCCCCCACCCTCCAATTTCCTTCTTCTCCCCCCTCCAA